TGAACATTTTGAAGTTCCCTCATATTCATGTATATGCATGCTGTTGTTAAGTGCCTCCAGTCAGTTCTAACTCATGGCAACCCTGTACAGGGCCTCATCTTTCTCCAGACGAGTGAGTGGTTGGTGGACATGAACTGCTGACCTTGTGGTTTGCAGCCCAGTGCTGATCATTCAGAACCATCATAGTCCCTTCGTTGTTTAGTGTCATCGAGTTGGTTCTGACTCATAGCAACCCTGGATATGGTTTCCGAGGAGTGGCTGGTAGGCTTGAACCGCTTGACCTAGTGGTTAAGAGCATAGTATTGTGCTTATTTTACACCACCACACCCAGGCTCCTCTGTATGTTAGGGTTGTTAAGGTCATCAAGTCAGTTCCAACTCATACTGACCCTGTCTAGGGTTTCTGAGAAGAGGGTAGTGGGTTTGAACTGCCAACCTGGCAGTTAACAGTTCATTGCTTATCCAACAGCACCAGATCTGTATGTAGGATATATCGTGCTGTAGAAGGGGGTCCTGGTGTGGTACTGTGGGTTAATGCACTGGACTGCTATGTTGGTTTGAACTGTAAAGTCACTCCTTGGAAACCCTATACAGTATCACTATGGATCGGAACCAAGTCGATGGCAACTAACAACATGTGCTGTAGGATACGCACTCGACTGCAAGTTCATTTTAAACTGCAGGGTCAGTGGTTCAAATTTACCAGTTCTCCTCAAAAACCCTATACAGGGTCGCTATGGGTCAGAACCAACTCGACAACATTTAACAACAACAACAATGATGTAACCCTGCAGAACACGCACGGAACCGCAAGGACAGTTTGAACCACACAATTAGTGGTTCAAACCCATGAGTCACTCCTTGGAAATTCTATACATGGAAAACAGCCTCGAATCCTTTTTTAAAACAAGCTAAAATCAGTGATACCATCAGTAAATGCTACAGTTGTTGAAAGTAGAGGGAATTAAGGTTGCAGGCACCTGGCTGGCTGGGAGAAGAGCTGTAAAGAAACAGGGATAGTTAGTTTGGTGGGAGTGAAGAATTAGAGTACAGAGAGAAAAGAGAGCAAACCAGCCCAGTGGGGAAGCTAGTTGGCTTTGAATAGAGTGTGATTGCAAGAGCTGGGGGCAAGGTTCCTACAGCACAACCAAAATAAAGAACTTAAAGCCGGAAGGTGAGAAGCCTGCATTCAAGTCTAGGCTCCATTGCTTACTAGCTTCGTAGCCTTCCTGAGTCAAAGTTTCTTTCTGTGCTTATAAATAAGATTAATATTACCTTGTTCACAGCTAGGATTAAATGAAATAATGCATATGAATGTGCTTTGTAACCTGTAAGGCATTAGGCAGATCAGAGTCATAATTATTATCATTAACAGCAATAGTAATAGCATCTGATAGTAGAAGAATAGAGTTAGGAGATCATTGAGTGTCTGGCTTGTAATGTCAGTGTCTCCTCCCTTAGCAGCTGTTGTTGGCTGCACTCAGATCAATTTTTAACTCATAGCGTAGGGTTTTCAAAACTGTAATCTTTACAGAAGCAGATCCCCAGGCCCTTCTCCTGGGATTTGAGCTGCCAACCTTTCAGTTAGGAGCTGAGCGCTTAACCATTGTGCCACTAGGTTTCTTCAAGCTCTCCTGAAGACAACTACTTTCTTAGTTGTCTGTGCTGATTTTGACCTTGAAGAGGTTACATATTGCAGGATATATGGATAGAGGTGGCTCTGGACGGTTGAGGAGATAAGATGGAATCCCAAAATGTATCCTAAGCTCGCCTAGCTTGACTCCCTAAGAGGATGGGTTCTGGAGATGTAACCTGGGAGAGTGTAACTGAAAGAGCAAGTAGGCTGTTCCTGTCCCTGTGGAGTTACAGAGCTCTGTGACATGTCTGTGACATGTCTGTGTCTCGTGTCCCTCTAACCCTCATGGTCTGAGGTGCCGCAAATTCCATGCTGTGTATTTGGTGGAAAAGTCTTCCTACCACCTTGTAGAAGCATTTAGACCAAGGTGCTCCTATGTTTCAGGTCCCAAAAAAAGTGAACATTCCTCTTCAAATGCCTCCTTGGCCTCTCTGTACAGTGGTCCAAGAATCCCTGCACAGGTTGTATTTTCAGGTGCAAGTCTGGCACCTTTATCTGCAAGACATGGGTCTGCCTAAAGTAACTGTAACTCCACCTTTGGCATAATATTTGATGTACTTAAAACAATTCGACCAAAACCCTTTTCCCAAACACTGCTAAATACAGTCTTCATTAATGATAATGATAATGCCTATAATCAGCGGGTTGCATGTGGATCCTCTCTTAAGAAAAGCCAAGTTCAGACCTCCCCAGGCAGCCCTCGGGACACCCCTACCACACTCAGTTACCATTCCCTACTCTACCTCAAGTTGACTCTGGACTTTCTGAATTGTATTCACATGTCGGAGAGTCCAGGCATCATTTTGTAGCACTGGTAGAGACAGAAGGTTGTAAGCATCTTCCATTTGGACAGAGCCCAGCCAAGATGGCAGAAGTTTGAAGCATCAATCTGGCCAGAGTAATCCTCCAATTCAACAGCCACCTCACCCCTGTAGACTGTTCCTTTATGATTCGTGTCAGTAGACTTCATTGGCCCTTTGAGGAAGCTAATGATGAATAAGACATGGGTCTGACCTCTGAGAATCTAGTGGGAAATGAAAAGCAAGTACACAATGGAGCAAAGGACTATTTATTAAAGAAAATGAGATACAGAGAAAAAGGCAGGGGCTGCTGATTTGACTTACAGAGCTCCAGAAGAGGCTTCTAGGGGACTCAACATTTCCATCAAGGTCCTGAAAGAACCTTAAGGAAGGGACTAGGAAAAACTAAGCCTGCTGCGATCACGTCAGTTCCAACTCATGACCACCCCACGTGTCACCGAGTACAACTGGGCTCCTTAAGGTTTCCTTAGCTGCAATCATTGTGGAAACGGGTCACAGGCCAGGCAGGATTCCAAGCATTAGTCTTTAGAGTTAGTAACTGAGTGCAAACCACTTGCACTCCCCAGGAAAGGACACAGGGTCTAGATATCAAAGCATGAATAGACAAGACCCCCAGAGTCCAGTCCTAACTTTCCCCTGGAGGGGCACACAGCTATAAAGTGATGTTTTACCCAGAATCTCTATTTGGGTTTGTTTTCCCCAGATGACAAGAATTTCCTACGACTACAGAATGACGGTCGGAGAGAGGGCCAGTATGCGAGGCTCATCAGCCCACCGGTCCACCTACCCCAAAGCCCTGTGTGCATGGAGTTCCAGTATCAAGCCACAGGCAGCCAAGGGGTGACGCTGCAAGTGGTTCGGGAAGCCAGCCAGGAGAGCAAGCTCCTGTGGGTCATCCGAGAGGACCAGGGCAGCGAGTGGAAACATGGGCGGATCATCTTGCCCAGTTACGACATGGAGTATCAGGTGGGGTGGTGATGGGAGCCCGTGCAGAGATGCGAGGGAATGGTTGTGATCTGTGTTTCAATATTTCAAAGGCCGGTGCCCATTCATCATTAGGGAACGTGGTTCAGCCCTGCTGTTTTCATTGTGTTTCTCCAGTTGTCATGGCAACTAAATGACACTCTTATTTGTTATTCAGAATGTGCCTATCTTTACACCCAGACTTGGTTCTTTGTTCCTCCTATTGCCTTTTATATTGCTGAAATCTTCTCCAACAAATGTTTCTTCTCTCCATTTTATTTTAGATTGCTATCAGGTAAGCTGACAAAGGCACACAGAAACCAGGGTAATAAACACAAATAAACCCTCCACACACAAGGGAAGAAGCCTGTTGAGCCTCCTTAGAATCCATTGGAGAAGGAAATGGGAACAAGCTTCCAGGCCTGTCCCAGGGACTGTGAACATAGGAAAGGGGCCTGGGCAATGCTGGCTGCATGCTGTGGTCTGCAGACCCAAGAGAGTCTCCGTAGCTCCACGAGTTGGGTTCTATTATCTCCGTCCACAGAGCAAGAGACTGAGGCACAGATGGGTGCACGCAGCTGTGGCTGGAACTTGGGTAGGAGTAGATATGCTGTGGAAGAGGTGACTGAGAACCAGCCAAAGCATTAACCTGCTCCTCCCCAGACGAGAAGCAGCAACAGATGGCTGGTGAGGCGGCCAACTGCTCACTCAGCCTGCCAGAGGACATGTGGTAGTTTGCAGAGAGAACCTGGTGGGGAGGAGGGATGAGGAATGATTGGAGACCACAGAGCAGAAGGGCTTCTGTGTGGAGCGTGCAGTCACTCTCCTCAGGGTGGAGGGTGTCCTGAGATCTTTCCCACCTCCATCTGGGTTCCCACCTTTACGCCTTCAACCCAGACAAAACCATTGCCGTAGAGACACTTCCAACTCATGGCGACCCTGGAGGACAGAGTACAACTTCCCACGCAGGATTTCCAACGCTCTCATCTTCATGGGAGCAGATTGCTGCTCCTACGAAGTGACTGGCGGATTCAAACTGCCAACTTTTCAGTTAGCAGATGAGCTTTCATCACTGTACCACCAGGGCTCCTTGATGCCCCTTAATGCACTGGGTAGCAGGGACTTGTTTGCATTTTAGTCATAACCACTACATGATCTTAGCCTACTACTCTCTGAAACTGTCTTTGTGTCTGGCATATAGTAAACGCTCAGTAAACTACTGGTGAAAGAACAAACCCTTCCCTCCTTGTGATGATCATAGAGCCATAGTCGGTGTCAGCCCAATGGTAATCCACACCCGTATGCTGTGTACCATTTCTCCGCTTACCTTCACCTGCTCAGATCCTCTAAGTTTTAAAATGCCTGCACGGAGAGTTTGGAAGATGGATGAGAGGGAACCTCAAAAATACCTAGGGAAATTTCAACACTCTCTGAAACAGGATTGTGATCCTTCTAACTACTACATTCTAGTTACAGGACAACCATATCCATCATTCTGTTGGGTTTGTGTGTGTGTGTTTTATCTCCTCAAATATGCATTTGATTTGAACCAACTCTTTTTAAATTAAGATTTCAAGTGCTGTGGCCTTGTGGTCAACAGATGTGTAACAGGTGTGCACACATCTACATACCTATTCACTTAGTCGTACACACACATTTACATACCCATACACTGTGCACATTTATACATACACACAGATTTACACACACACACACACACATACATTTACATATCCATACATACACACATTTACATACCCATATACCTGTTCACAGATACACAGATTTATTCACATACACACATTTACAGACCCACACACATACACATATTTTTATGCCCAGACACAAACACACATACACACATGTATAGACCCATATGCTAATTCATATAGACATTTATATACACACATACATTTACATACCTATACACTTACATACATACACCCATTTATATATCCAATCCACCTACACACACACACTTTAAACTACAGTCATAAAAAAAAAAAAAAAAACTAGAAATCTTCACACTGCTTGGGCCAGGAAGCTCAATTAATAAAGACTCTTGTTCTTCTGGCTTCTAGATTGTGTTTGAGGGAATGATAGGAAAAGGACGTTCAGGCGAGATAGCCATTGATGATATCCGGATCAGCACTGATGTTCCGCTGGAGAACTGCATGGGTACGTGACTCTCTGACTCCTTACAAGTTCCCCACATTAGACACCAAGGGCTGGGATATACAAGAGGTGACAATGTGCAGTTTCAAACATAGTGTTTAGCCAGGGGGGCGGCCAGCAGCAGTCCATATGGGAGGTAGGGGTGGGTGTAGTTGTCTCCTAAACTGACTCCAGGATGGGAGGGGTGGAGATGAGGTGAAGGCTTAGATCCTCGTTCCCAGTCAGACAGAGACATGCACTAAGTATCTGGAGAGCCAGGGTGCCAAGACCCCATCATCAAACTCCAGCTTTTAGCAAAGAAAATGCTAGAGGACGAGAGCAACTGCCAGTCAGAATTACATGCTGGGCAAGTTTGATGGATCTAATGGAAGCCTTCACTGGGAGGAAAAATAGTGCATATGTTCTAGAAGAGTGATCACACAATTACCTGAGTAGTTCTTTTACACGAATGAATTACAGTGCTAACTATAGCATAGGAAGTAAGATTTTAGACTTTGTTCTAACGCTAATCCCTCTAGTGCCCAACATCCTAGAGTTGTTGTAAGATTAAATATTTTATGCCGGCTGAGCAGCACAGCAAAGACCACGGCTGTCACCTGGGTCAATAGGTCTGAGCAGCCAGTCCACTACACACACTGTATTTAGTGCCTCCTCATGGAGAAGGGGTCAGTCCAAGGGCACTCGGACCATCTCTAGTCAGAGCCATGGATGTTCCCAAAAACACGAGGACAATCCCGAGAAGGACAGAGACCCATTTTCAGCTCCGCCTGCAGAGTGACTTTAATAACTTACCAAGTGCTTTTTTTGGCACACAGTCCTGGGTGTGTGTGTACCCAGTGATGTCAGAAGCACCCGGGACCACCCCATTCCCTCTGGGTACCTCTCAGGTCCCGGGCATATAAAAGTAATCCAAGCTCTGAGAAAGTAATCACTGATAAGTGACTGATTACAATGCTTTGGGGACCCATTACTCTATGAAGGACTTTTTGTTCCAAAGCAACTTTAAGATTGTCTCCCCACCCTGCCTGATGATGGTGCTATGTTAGACAGCCTTGAAGACGGGAGGACATGGGCAAATCTAGAGGGTATTACAAAAATACCTAATTACCTTCATTCTTCCTCTTATCTAAGTCAGTTTTATTTTGTTGTTGTTTCTTTTTGTTTTCTAGAACCCATCTCAGCTTTTGCAGGTGAGAATTTTCAAGGTAAAAGAAAAACTGCATGCTTTTTCCTTTCCCCCATGTGATGTGATTTTGGTGGAGGGAATAAGCCTCCAAATTGGACAAGTCTTGCAAGAGAAACTAGAACTGCACACCTTCCCAACACTAGATGGCACTAGTAACACCTGTAGATGCAGTGGAAGAGGATTGAGTTCCTCACTGTCTCTTGTTTAATTAAAGTTTAGAAACCTATAATAGAGACAAATAGGTTACAGATAAACCTTTCAGTCTTGCATTGTCCAATGGGGAGCAATGAGGCTGAAAATGTATGAATGGTGAAAAAGAGAGGCTGTGGGAAGACAGAAACCTGCCCCCCTCCAAAAAAAAAAAAAAAAAGCTAAAATGAGTAGAGAGAAATACTGTTAACTGATGGTACAAGGAGGGGATTATAACTTTCCAGTTCCAGGGTGTACCAAGACAGCAAGCTCAATTAACCCTTAGTGAGCTGCAGTGGCTGGCAGTTGTGTGAGGAAAAAGTTAGGGAACAGGTCCAAGGACTGCTTGTCTTAAGGATGAATCGTTGTAGAATTCAGGAGCCTAGTGTCTGATAAAAGGGACAAGGAAACATATTCAATTATTGGAATTAGATCATTGTGAACACAGGATTGGGGGAAACCAGCAAAGAGCACCATTCTCCCTAATACAGTCAATAGTAGAGTGAAAAAAAGAAGACTGTGAGTTGCTTGCCTCATCCTAGAAGGGAGGGGAGGGAGGGGAAGGGCCTGGAACCTTGAGTGTTGGTAAATATTTGTTGGGTTTTAACACATGGGTTCTGCATTTTGCCCTGTCTGCAGCAGTTGATTGGCACAGCTGAAGTTCCCACCCAGGTTGTGAATGCAAAGCGTTACCAGAAACCACTCTAAATACATCCCTTCATTTGGTCTGAGTGTAAAACCATATTCAGAGACGCTCACCCTTACCTAGTAGCAGGGATTTTTTTTTTATAACCCATTTTTTGCAAGCAATTGTGAGGGGTTATATACTGACTAGGTTTAACCCCACAGGTGACAGCATGTCAGAGACAAGGAAAGTCATTTTTATATCTGATGTCTAGACTTGTTATCTTGAATCTCATTAATCTGTCCAACTCATGGTTAGAGAGAGATACATACTTGCTTTGCCACCTAGATGTGTTCTCTGACTCCTAAGCTTTTCGCCTAATTTGCCACTTATCACCCATAACTCTAAGACAGTAGATGAGGAGGAAGGCAGCAGAATAGAAGAGAGCGATGGATCCAAATAGAAGCCATTTTGTTACTGACTCACCTTTCTGTACTCCCCCGAGTCCCACTACCACTGCACATTCTGCATTTTAAGGTACAGAGTATTCATGTAAACATGTTGATACTCTTTGGGTACAAGATCTATGGGAATGCAGATCCAAAGTATTGGAAGGAAAGCTGAAAGCAAAACTGAAACAGCTTGGATTACAGTTGAATTCAAGTTCTAACCTTCGGGACTCAAGGTAACGCTTGCATTGGTGAAGTGAAACTTGCTTCTGTTTGTTCACCTGGTTCTTATTGAGTTGTTGAGACTCTAAGCTCCCGGGAAAGGCTGGTTAACGTCTTGCCAGCCACTGTCACAGACGCTTTTTTGTGTGTGAACTTGCGTGTCCTGACCCAGGACTAACAAGTGTGGTGGCTAGTGCTTTGTTTCTGTAAGAAAATAAACCAGGGCACATGGGCTCTCCTTGAAGTTGTATTTACAATGAAGTTTCACAGTCCTGTCATGTTCTCTTTTTGAAAATGTATAAATAATCTATAATCCGAGCAGCAGTGCTCATTTAGCCTATATAAACAGAGGACTCAGTGGCTTGACGGTAAGGATTTCCAGCATGCCCACGATGGACTGCTTAGGGGGTTGAGCAAAGGCCGTTCAGGGAGCTGCATAGATTAGTCGGTGGCTGTTTTCTTGAAGGATGAGCATCTTTTGAAGGAGGAAACCAGCATGGAGGCACAGAGACTTGGTCAAAGGATACGGGCTCAAGACCAGAATTGGAACTGAGAGTGACAATTGTGATGATCACAATGGCATTTTGAGTTGGGAATTCTCTTCTTTGCCCAGAGCCCATTTGACCTCAGCACACAACGCTGTATCTTAATTCAGGCAATTAAGCATGCTGCATCTCACCTGGCCAGGACAGTGGGAGCCCTTTGTTGATCAAGGCATGGGTGACTTGGTGTCTACGCACCCTTTTCACTGAAAGAGAGACTTAAAGAGAAGTCAGGTGTGGGCAGACTAGATCTGATGAAATCCTCTCAACAATAGATAGTTTTAGAATTTGGGTTGTTTTCCAGTTCCATTATAAATTAAACGTGAGTCAGAAGTAATTGCATTCTTTGGGAGAGACCAATGTGTGTAGTAGGTAAATCGTTAGGGAAATACAATAGAAGTCGCCTCTGGACCTGAGCTTATTAGGTTTTATTATCATCTGTCAGATTTTGAAGTATCTTTCATTTTCTGCCTCTTACTCATTCCTTGCCTTAAAAAACATTTTCCTTTGATTTAAATTGCGTTGTGTTTTCTGCTTAGTGGAAATACTTGATTATCACAGTGAGTCAGTAATGAAGAGAAACAAGGGGTGAAGAAAAGAACTGTGTAGAAAATAGAAGAAACATGGAGAATGAATAAGCTGTGATTTATAAAAAGACCTTTTTAGTTGCTGCTATGAGTCACATTTCAAACAATGTAAACTGGGTGTGCATTCTTCCTTTCCTTTTTTTTTTTTAAGCTGTGTCTGTAAACATGATGCCGTCATATATCTTCTTCTAAGGGGAGGAGAGTTTAAAAAAAAAGCACTGAAAATTGGTATAATGAAGGTGCCGGATTATTTCTTCTTAAACCAACCCTTTCTTTTTTCAGTAAGAGAAAAAAGAATAAAAATAAACAAACAAAAGCCAGTAAAAATATATAAAGCCCGTAGTCAGAGTTTTGAAGTTCTTGACCAGGTAGTTATCTTTAGCAGGTCACAGTGGAAACAAGAATGTGTTCGTGTTAGAAGCTGTAGAACTTGAATAAAGTCAATGCAGAAAGAGTGGGCTAGTACCCTAGGTGGTTATTTTTAGCAGCTTACAGTGGCAACAAGAATTTGTTCCTGCTAGAAGCAATAGGGATATCATGCTTGGTAAGGTGGAGGGTCAGAGAAAAAGTGGAAGACCCCCAATGAGATGGATTGGCCAAGAGGCAGCATCGATGGACTCAAGTGTGGCAACAGTACTGAGGTTGGCCCAGGATCAGGCAGTGTTTCATTCTGCTGTGCATAAGGTCGCTATGGGTCGGTACTGACTATATGGCACCTAACAACAGAAGCGATAGGGTTTGAACAAAACAGATGCAGAGAGACTGTGCCTAGTACCTTAACTGTTAGAGTCCTATGGAATCCCAGGCACCTGTTCGAGTGGAGGACTCAGAACTACTGTGTCTGCCACTGAAGGATGATAAAGGAACATCAGTACCACTTCACAATGACTTTGAACATGGGATTCTGACTCAGGTCATATCTGATGGCCCCAGTGCCCATCACTAGGTACCTCTCTGCTGTTCTTCATCCAGGTAAAGCAGGAAGGAGCCCCCAGGTGGCACAAGGGTTAAGCACTTGACTACTAGTTGAAAGGTCGACAGCTTGAATCCACCCAGAGTCACCTCATAAGACAGCTCTGGCGATCAGTCTGCTTCGGAAAGGTCACAACTTCTGCATACATGGGGTGACGATAATTCTGAATTGATTCAATGGTAACTAACAACAGCAAAGCAGGAGGAAGTGACTGCGGTGGGGTCCGGGGGAGCAGTCTTAAGAGAGAGCTATTTGGGGGTACTGATAGACTGGCTAACTAGCTTTTGACTGCCTGCCTCGGGTTTTGTTATAGGTTCTGGCCATCCCTGCCATCTTCCATCATGCCTTCCCTTTTCTATCCCCACTTGCATCCCCTGTTGGCTGCCCCCAGAGGCTTTGGCCACCAGGACATGGGACTGGGGTTGGCCTTGGAGTCCCTTTCTCCACAGCTCTCTTTACTAGAAGCACTTACTTGTGAGCTCCAGTAAGGGTTAAATGTATTCTTTTACATAATCCACTGATGAAATGCAGAGAAGTGTTCCTCAGCCCTGCCAGGGTTTCAGATAGGCAGCTGTGGTGTGTGAAGCCCCCTGCTCCAGGCCCCCACCCACCCACCACACGTCTCCAGCTGCCAGATTACGACTAGGTGTTGCTGAGCAAGGCAGCATGGAGATCAGATGTGTGTAAACTGGTACTGCTTGGCTGCCATTACTTGCCTGGGGGGATGCAGGCGTTCTTTGTGGACTTACATGCACACGCTACCGCCCTGTCTCAGCGGCCTTACACATCCCCTCCCCAAAAGTTTACTATTAATCTAAACAACTGCCAAGGTCAGTTTGTCTAAAGGGAAAAGGATTTTTTTTTTCACCAACTTGTTCCCTCTGCAAAACCACAAAAGTGAGCCTTCACTGAAAGAAAGTACCATCAGTACAGCAAACAGCATTCATTCCATGGTAGAATTCCCAGCTTCCATCTGCGAGACGTAGCTTCAAGTCTTAGTCAATGCACCTTCTTCACAGCCACCACCTATTTGGCTATCACTGTAAGCTCTGAAGCTGAAAAGCTTTCAGTGAAGCTTCCAGACTAAAGTAGACTAGGAAGAAAGTCCTGGCAATCTATTTCCAAGAATTAGCCAGTGCAAACTCTGTGTATCTACCACCAATCATGGAGAAGTTGTAGCATCGGGCAGTATTTCACTCCACTGTGCATGGGGTTGTCATGAGTCAGGAGCTAACTCAATGGCATCTAACAAAAACAATAACAACATAAGTACCACCAAAGTCATGCCAAGCATCAGAGACTTCAAGATCTGAAGTTTTAAGCCTCGGTACTTTAGCCAGAGAATGTAAAAATAGTAGCCTAATGAAAAACCTTCCAGTGACCCTCCAGACATCACTTGTAAGGCAATGCAAATAAGTCATTTCTCCGAAGT